ACTGACAAGCAGATGTCCGACCAACTACTCTGAGTACACGGCGCAAAAAATGATATATACACACACACACACACACGCACGCACACACAACAAAACTGTAAAAAAAATATAAAAAATATAAGAAATATAAACCCAATAGTAGCCTGCACGGATCTTGAATCAACCTGATAGATTTGATCAAAAGATAAACGTGCGGCTGGAAAACTCCTGGTTGGCCGGTTGGGCAGCCTAAGGCCGACCCACAAAGAATTTGTGACACTTAGGCCAAAATCGAACAAGCATGTATGACAAAAAATGTAAAAACCTGTTACTCTTCAACCAACTAATCAGCAGACCTTCCTGACCATATTTCGACAAAAGGTTGACATGATATCTATGGTCACTCGTCGCCTCTCAAGTAACAGGTTAACCATCCTTAGTCGGTCGCACTGTACTAACCGGGCGACCATCTATATCCAACTTCCAGCAACGTTCAAACTCAATTAGCTTCCAAACATATAAGTCGTTTAACATCCAAGCAAAATAGCCGATCGATGCCATCTCAGCCTACCTAAGGATGAAATTCAGAGGAAGAATCCAGAGACATCAAAAGATGCTAAAAGCAGTTGTCAAATATGAAAAGAACACAATATATCTTGTTATCCCTTCATAAGTAGGGACAAAGATGTAATTTCTATCATAATAGGCCTTTATCTTCTACAATTAGGGAGTTCAATAGCTAAAACGAGGTTTTTTGGCTCTTATATCTATACCCATTCTTTAAAGAGAGTCCTCTTTCCTTGTCATCTCTATAATCTCTGTTGCCATTTTTTTTCTATGTCATAACTCATAATTGTAGGGTGTCAACCTGTATGGATCCAAATGGTCTACATCTAATAGTTTAAGACGCCCGTCAGGGACCTTCCAACACTTATTGTGGGCAAGTTGTTGGGTTCAGTGATGATTCAGCTATATCCGGGAAACTCCCCTCTTGGATGTGAGAAGTTCTTGGTACCTAATCTAATGATTAGAAGTCACCACATGCCTGTCTGGAGCCTTCCACAACCATGGGAAGTCACAGAGTCCACCTACATGGGCTACGGAAAATTAGAATTTGCGACACCCTACTCGCGTCGTGGTTTAAGACGACCGTTGGCACTGATTGCTTTGATGAATGACCTAAAAAATACTCCATTATTAATTTATGGACTATATTTCACTAACATGAAGTCTTCCATAGGTTGCAAATTGAAAGAATATTATGTTGAGCATTCCCGAAAAAAATCATGGTTTTGGGCTTGACAAGCGCCCCTCCCCTCCTCTGCACTGAGCATTCAAACCCAAGAGCACGACTTTCTGGCACCACTCTCCGGGCCTAGGCACCAAAAGCAGACCAAAATAGTCATTTTCCCAAGATTCTAGCCTGCCAAGGCACCCAATAAGTTAACTGACACATAGTCACCGGGGTGAGTGGCGACTAGGCATCATATTGGCACCTAGGCACTCGAGGACGCAACACCTAGACATTGGTCACATTCAAGGTCATGATTTTGGGCATTTTCGATCTCGTTTTGACTTCGTAAGTCGTCGGAACGCCTGTGAATCCTTAAGGGGTTGTGAAATCCCACTTATACACTCATCTAGAAGAATTTAACACCCCATTTTGGTGGCATTTTGGTCAATTTGAGGAGGATTCGGGCTTAATATATTGCTCCCCCTCCCATTTTTTGTTGGTTCATTTCTACCCAGGAGAAGGATTCGGTCGTTCCTCTCTCCACCTCCTTCATCTTCATCATTGGCTAGGCCATCCTATGTGGCCATCATTATAGTCTAGCCCTCTATTGATTACCTCAAAGGTGTTGCCTATTACTTCATCGAAGAAGGCATGACGCATTGACTATGTTACTCTGCTTACATAATTGATCTGTGCTTGAGTGGGATACTGGCATACTTATACTACATCCCAGTATGGTCCTCTCATCAAGGGATTACTTATGTCTCCCTCGAACATGAATTACTTTACTTGTTCCCGAGGAATTCCCCAGCACAAGTCGCTTCACTAAAGCTATCGAAAGCACCATAGAGGGACATTAGTGTGCTTGTATGGCCCCGAGGCCCGATCATGCTAGTCTGTTTAGTAAGAATTACCCCCCACCAACCTTGAGGAAGCCTTGACAGGAGTCAGCTTCCAGGGCCCTGATGAGGATATTCTATACCAGTTAGACCACTTCATTGGCTTGACCCATTTCAGTGGTATGAATGATGTGCACACTATCTCGCATCTTAATTAAACATGTTGTACAGTCAGAGAAAACTTGTTTTTATTATTAATCCATGTCTAATTGAGACTCCTAGATACCTAATTAAACCAGCATATATTCCTCAATAAGAACTATCAAACTCACTCTTGATGAATCCCCGACAAGAGGACATCTCACCATAACTGCGAAGGACCATTTTTAGGTAGACCATTATTATAGTCTAATTTTTATGATACAGGACTGACCGCTATGACATTGTAATCCTTACCACCCGTACATGGCCTATTCATATATCCTCATCAAATGGACATTTGATATATGTTAGCTTTCTAGCTCATACAACGGACCCATGTCTAGTTGGTGCCTCCTTGGTGCCTGATCACACCGCAAAGACTTTCTCAATGAGAACCATCTTTTCTAGTCCCTAAGGAATCCCTAGTGAGGGTTGCGTCTTTATTGCTCTATAGGAGCATTCTTTGGGAGAGATCGTTCTATGCATTGCTTTTACCTCATTGCCCAACTTGGGTGACCCTATACGCCATGTCAAAAGGCATGTTGCATTACTATGGTCTAAGGTCACCTAATCCATCAATGATAGTGTGAGGATAATAGTAATCCCATAAAAAATCCCAACTGGAACTCGAGGTGATATCCTCAGTAAAGCCCTTTTAATAGGCACTTAACAAAAGTACCAAATGACACACCTTGAAATTACCTACTTTTATATGTACATTTTATGGCCATTTTTAAGGACATTGCACTTTAATGAAAGATATTTTTTATCTTTTTTATTTCAGACACAAGAAATGAAGTTTAAAAGTAAAAGGAGCAAATATGGAGCAAAATAAGTTTAAATAAAGCTAAGGAACAAAAATTGACTTGGCTAAGCTCATGGTTCACTTAATTTGTCACTATATGTTACAACAATCAAATGGCCTCCATTTAGGGTTTCTTATATCTTGCACTTAGCTTTTGGACTCCCTTTAGTGATATTTCACTTGAATTTTTTAGATGCTTTATAAATACCACACTCTAATTTTACTTTTTTTGGGTCTCTTTTTTTTACATCCAAGTGCTTATTGGTGGGATGTTGGAATTGTTTTTTTTTTCCATTAAGTTTACTGAATGTTTTTTTTTTCTTCAAATGAGATGGCATCATCATCGTTGTTTTTGGAAGTTTGCATTACTTGTGAGCTCACAATTTTACTTGTAGATGCAAACCTTATTTTACATTTTAAAGCCATGATGCTTATCAATATGAAAAGGAGACTCAACTAGTTATTCCCTGCTACTTCTCAAGAAATTCTACACTTTTGAACTTGTAGATATAATTTTTTTATTTATTTTGATTATTCGTTAAGAGCTTTTATTTTCAAGCTTGAATGGTAGAATTTTCAAATGTATTACAATTATACACAATATAAATCAATGCATTATATATCCCTATACAACCTACGATACTCTACATATCTATCTTTGATGGATTACCCATGAGATCTTTCATATGTTGGCCCTAGTATACTTGTAGTCGGATATCTCTGGATAGAGTCTCCTTTAGAGGTTAGGAGTTTTTATTGAGCTCATTGTTTACTTTTGTAACTTTTATTTCCTTTTGCTCATTTCTTGTCCATATGTTTTTAAATTCAACATTTTTACAACACATTTTTCAGCTTTTCATTTTTCAGCTTTAACCTTTTTGAGGAGTCTACAATTGTTATTTAACCAAATAAAAGTCGGGCATGGATCTCTTTATTCCTAAAAAAAGTATTTTAGTTATTAAAATATCTAACAATGAATTATTTTAAAAGTATACAAATTATTTAGTGCCCTTTCTTATTTCAACAAAACAAATAGACCTAAATCAAAATCATTTTATATAGGATAATGTGAAAATAAGCTTACTACTAAAT